ATAAAAATAGCTGCAATTTGCTTGACAAATGCCGATGAGCGTGTCAGTGTTGGTTTGCTTTGCTTGTCAGCTGCCACTCCGCAGGCAGCGAGCTCGCTTCCCTTCACCCTCTCTGCCTGCTTCTCCTCCATCTCGGCTGCCTGCTCCCTCTCCGCAGCCAATCCCCGGCACGCTCCAGCTCCCAGCCAAATAAGGAGAAGCAGCGTGAGGAACCCCGGGTGCGTGCAGGCACCCATGCACCCACCCAGCCGAGCAGCTGAGCCAAAGCGGCTTTTTTTGGTTATTTATTTCCCCCTCGCCAGCTCAAAGACAGGCAAACTCCCTTCTCCCTCCCTCTTTTGCCTTTCTGTGGAAATAACGGAGAGACACCTTGGGAAATGCTTGGGGTACTATCGGTATGCAAGAGTCTGGGCAGAGAGGTTTGAAAAACAAACAGAACACCCCAACAACAACAACAGCAGCGGGCCGTGCATCAGCGTGCAGCTGAACTGATTTGGAAAATAGGCACCGAGAGAAGCTGTCGCAGCACGCAGCAAACCTGCCCATTGCAGGGTGCAAAGGGTGCCCTGCTCCGCAGATCAGCATCACTGGGGCTGCTGTGTCTGCAGGCAAGGGCTTGTCGTGTGTCCTTAAGTTTTACCCACTGCATGTTTTGAGGGAAACTACATTTTAATCACAAAACCAGTGGCTCTTGTCTGTGAATCCTTAAAGATATTTCATTAACCAGCCCCCCCATCACACAGAGTCTCTCTGCCTCCCCTACCTTGCCCCTTTCTCTGAGGTCTGTTGCATTTAAAGCTGCAAAGCAACTCAGTTTTAGCAGCAACCATCTACTCTGGTCCCATAGCAGGTCTGGAGCAAGGAGAGCTTGTCTGCTGTACAGGGACGTGCTGCTCGGCATCAGATGATGCCATTCTAGCTTTTAAAAATGCATTTCAAAGCAGAGACCCTGGCAGAATTGGGGAGAACAGCAAGGTATGAAGTTGGATTTTCAGCAGTGCTTAGATCAGCAGTGAATAGAAACTATCTTTATCTCAGCCGTTAACAAAGCCAGGGAGGGAGGGATGTGAATTGGAGATTTTGCACAGATACTTTTGATGCAAACAATGACAAAATGGATATTTTCAGTTGATTTTTCCACAGAAAATGTTGGGCCTTTTGTCAAATGAAGCAAACCCAAAATATTTCTGTTTTTAAATGCTGCTGCAGTGCCTCTAGGTTGCTGTAGTTAATTTGCTTTGCGTTCCCCACTTGGGCTGGGAGTGCCACGCAGTCTCCAGCCCTCACACTGCATTGTGGGTGGGAATTTTTTGGAGGTGGGAAAACAGCCCCACAGCTGGGGCCTATAGATCATTTTCACACTGTCCTAATTTTTCTTGAGGAAAACAAAGAAAACAAGCAGGCATATCTGAAGGTCTCCTAGCGGTTTTCTATCAGGATCTTCTTCCAAGCACATGCATGACCTTCTGTTTCCACCTAGCAAGACTGGAGAGACAAAAGCAATGTGGCCTCCCAAGGTAAGAAATCATGCTGGTTATGGTGAGAACTGTTGGCAGCCCGTTGACCTCAGAGCGTCGAGGAGACGAGGACCCTTGCAGTCCTACATCTCAGGTCTTTAATGGTCATTTAGCTGAGGATAAATGAACCATGAGGAAATCTAGTTACACACATTGTCTACTGTGTGGCGCGTGCAACCTGGACTTCCAGTACCAGGAGCAGAAGCTGCTGGGGTTGCCGTAGCCCCAGGCAGATTACTAGCCTTGCCCCAAGAATGTTAAGTGAGAGGGAAAATTAGGAATATGACAATCCTCCTTGTGCTACGGATGTTGAGAATATCTGGCCACCATTTTGGTGACACTTCTGTGGTGGCTGCCACCTTGTTTGACACTGATGACCAGACACACCATCTCCACATATAACAGTTAATGGTGAAACCCGTGCTGCTTAGCTGGTGCTGTATCAGACTCGTACTCCGTGGAATTAACAGTCTGTCCCATGTCTTATTTTCATAGGTTGCTAACGCCCTTCAGAATCAATAAAGCAAGCATAACAGGCCAGATAAAGAGAGCAGCTGCAAAATTTCTGAATTACTCCAAGGCCTCTTTAAAGCAGAAGACGACTATTAAGAGGCTTTTGGTGGCTATAAATAGAATTTTCACACACTTGGAGGCAACTGTAACACTGCTTGAGTGAGGTTTAGGGCTTTGGTATAAAGAAGAAACATGCCTGTGGTGTTTAAATAGCAGTGGTCCACATCCTGGAATTACATCTTACAAAAGCAGTTCACAGTAATAAAATTATGGTGGATAAAGTCATATCTCTCCAGCAGTTTCCAGTCTTGGAGCCTTCCACTGCATTAAAGGGAAAAAAGAAAAGCCCCCAAACCCCAGAACAGAATATAAACAATTGTGACTCATGCCAGAGCGTTCTCAGTCTGATGAGGTGGGTGGATAAATACAGTTTTCTGATACAGCCGATAGCTCCTGCTGTGCAGTAGCATTTATTGGAGTTACTGATGAAGGAAACTGCGAAAGTTGTTGCTGCTTTTTTTTTTTTTTCCTAATAAGGCAAATGCCTTAAAAAGAGAAGGCAAGCTCTATTCCTGGAGGTCTGCGGAAGGTGCAGAGCTATAGGCCCTCTAATATTCCAACTGTGATGGTAAAAAAATGGTTGAATAATATGTTCAGCATACCCTTAGAATAAAATCAATGAGATTCAAGTGCACTCCATTACGTTATCAGGGCTGGATGAATTTTTTCTGAATGCTTGTGTCAGTTTTACCACCATGGGGCAATTAGTTTGATATGGCCTATTGGACTTTTGAAATAAATGTTCCTCTGGAGATGCCCAGCTTTCCATGGGTCACAGAGGGGGTGTTGACAACTAGGTTACTAACGTCGAGATCCTGTGAATTACCTGCTCAGAGAAGTGCCAGGGATCTCCTGCCCATTATGTGCATGCAGATGGGCAGCTATCTGCCGTGGGGAAAAGCTCTCAACAGAACGGAATGCACTTTACACTGAACTCACTTATCATAACACTCCATGTTTCAGTAGATTTTGTGAAAATCTTAGACTGTTTTGAAAACTGTGCTGTATTGAGAAGACAGTTTGATTTCTGCAGATTTCCTGCTTCAAGGGAAGTTGCTCCATAAGAGAACCTACTTAAGCATATAGAAGTATATTTATCTTGAATCCCTCAAGTCTTCCTGCTTTGTTATTGAGAGTTGTCTCTTACTAATGGAAAGCACAGTGCTTCTATCCTTGGAGTGCTGGAGTACTGAAATCCTCTTCCAAGTCCCAAGAGGGAGAGAAAAAAATAGAAAATAATTTGACCTACATTCAAAAGAATAATTATTGACTCAACAAGTTCCAACTCGTTTTTCAAATTAAAGCTCAGCAAGACAGACCCACTTCCCTAAAAGTGGTTAGGATCCACATGTTTACTAATATTTTTATGTGTAAACGCAGGCAGGTTAATTTCTCCTTCTAGGAAAAATGCTGCACAGTCCTATTTATTTTTATATAGTGTCTGTCATGCAAAAGAAAGAGAGCAGAGACAAAACTTAATACAGCAGCTCACAGCCAAGACAGACAGCAGTTAAGTGATAATGTGTGTCCATATGGAACGACTGTTGCAAACAGCTATTACTGAATGTCCAGGAAAGGAATGACACAAAAGCTAAGAGAAGCACTGAACATTTTAAATCCAATCTCTAAAAAAATTGTCCAGTGCTCAGGAAAAGCTTTATAATGACAGTGAGAATTTAAGATTCTAGTATATCACTTCAGGGGTGTGAAGTATGTAATGTCACTAAAATTACTGGCAAAGAAAGAGCTCAGACCTTAGTTTTAGGGAAGTGACCACCCCATGGAATCACTCTGAAGACATCAAAGAAAACCTCCTGTATAAGTAATGGCAAACCAAACCCCTTTCACAACCATCATTTATCCATTATCTCAACACTGCAGTGGGAGCTAAACCCAGATCTGATTGAGTTGCTGTCCTTAAGGTCTTGGGTGCATGGCACAATCCGGGGGGCGTGGGGTGGGGTTGTGCTGTGAGTTGAGAGCAGAGAAGACTCTGGAGATTGTAATGTGGTGGTGTCACTAACGTACCTACCCTTCCTGCAGCCTCTTGACATCTTCCACATGAGCCACCAGTCAGCCAGACCATCCACAAGATGTTTAATCCCTTTTGAAGCTTTATTGGGCCTGGGCTGAATTAATTCTGCCGGTAAAAATCATTACGCAGCCTCAGCTCTCCTCAGACAGAGCACCCCTCATTTGAGACCAAGCTATAGAGCTAATTAATAGGAATGCAGGAATTGCTAGTCTGGATGAGACCCAAAGCTCAGTGTCTTATATCCAGAACAGACTAGGACTAAGTGCTTTAGAGGAAGGTGTGAGACTCTGCTTCCCAAATTTAGCCACCTTAAGAAACCAGCTTAGAACTCAAAGGAAGTAAAGGAAAATTCCTATCACTCGTGGAATTGCTGTTATGAATCAACAAATCTTACCCCGTTCTCAGACTCCAGGTTTAGGAGTTTCCGCTGCCTCAATCCACTGTCATTACTGCAGGGACTCTCCAGTAGTTAAGGACAGCAGGGTCCCACTGGAGACGGGTGAGCCAGCCGTGGGGCGTCACCAAATAACCACACACACCTCACACTTTTTTACAAGCACTTAACACACGACAGAGTCACTCATTTTGTACGCACTGGTTCTTTTAAAGACTGACTGCTTGCTTAGCCTGGGTTACTCCACTTGATCTTTTTTTTGAGTACTAAGGCAGAATAGGTACTTTTCATTCTAAAAATTTCCACAAATCCACATATTTAACAGTTAATATTAGCTGCCCAAAGGTCTCCTCAATTAGCTCTTTAAGGACACTTTGTGTAAGCTTTGTAGACTGTTTTTTTCAACAATTTTTCCTACTTGTTATCTGTTACTAATGAACTGAAAAATAGCACATCATCATTATATGATTCTGTCACATCATTCTTGATTATTTCTGAACTCCAATAAGAAGTATTTATTAAAAATTTGTCTTTTTCTGCATCATTATGAACAGTGTTAATCCTTCCATCTATTAAAAGTCCTAGATTATTACTAGGACTTCTTTTTTCTAAAGATAATTTTAAATATGACTTATTTTGTCCTTAAAACTGACAGACAAGAATTGCTGTCTGAAGGTGCCTTTTTTCTTTCTGCACTTCATGCACTTCATAAAACTAATTCATATTAATTGCTGTCAATCCCTCCATCTCCTCATTTCTATTTGTTACATATTGCTTTTTGTTCTAATTGCTGTCTTTGCACTGAGTCTGTGCCAGATGGACTCTCCTGAAGGAGGAATTATGGCTCTTTGGCAACTTAATGCAGTCTTTTTACAGACTCATCCACGTTAATTTGTGTCTTTCCGTGTGAAATCTTTCGCTGTCAGTTTTGACTCACAGTTTCCTTCATCTTTGGGAAATCAGCCCTGTAGCAGTACATCACACGGTGCTGTGTTACGAGTTGGGACGGTCCTCTCTTTGACCGTACTGAATGTCACCAGGTCACAACCACTGAGCATCACTGGCCGAACTGCCTGCTCAGGTTGGCTGCACCGCTGGCGGTGGCCTTGCCACCAGCCTGTCGCTTCGTGGACGGCTCCACACCCTTCGGGTACCATCTCTCGGGTTGGCCGTGTTCACCGACTGGCAGAAGCAGTGTGTGCAGCACTCCCGCCCATCACTGTGCAAGATGGAAATCCCTGCGTTCAGATTGCTTCCTGGCTGCCATCTGCCAAGCAAGGGGTAAACAAGCATGTAACCATATTTCTCCCCAAATCCTCCTGAGCAGATGCTTATCTTTCCTCTCTCCCCAGTGAGCAGAGACTTCCAGTCCAGGACCCCATCTCTGTCCCCGTTCCCATCCCCTCTGACTACCTGGGTCCTGGCTAAGGTTGCGTTGGTTTTGAACTTCCCTCCTGTGTCACAGGTGCTGGGCGGGCGGAGGGAAACCCCCAGGCAAAGGCAAAGAGGCAGCAGAACCTCAGGGGCAACACCACTGAGCACCGAGTCCCTCTCTCTGCTGTCATCACCTTTGGCCATCCCCAGGTGCCAAAGCTCCGGGAGGCATCTGGCCTGTCTGCATGTTGGTGGAAGCGGTGGATCGTGGGAAGCTGAAGCCAGCTGTGGGCAGCTCTGGGGTTTGCTTTTGGCTTCTGGATGCTTGATATCCAGGTCACATGTCAGACAGACTCCCCTGTTTCCCCGCTCTTCCCTTTCTCAGTTTCCTTCTCTTCCTTTATTTCATGGAGGGGAGAATCCCGGGTTTTCTGCACCTCCTTTCCAAAATTGTTTTGGCGCACAAGCCAAAGTGGTTCTCCTGTGACTGCCAGGAAATGGCAGCTGGGATAAAAGATGATATTAAAGAAAGCAAACTGATGAAAAAGCAGATATATATACACATATATGTGTACATACATTTTATATGTGTACTTCTATATATATATCTCCCCAAGTGATTCAGGAATAGCAGACACTAAAAGGGCTAGTGGAAACTGTAATCAGAGATGTATTGACAAGCCTGGAAGCCTGGCTCCTGCCATCAAGTGTTTGTTTTCAGGAACTAGAACGCATGGTGTGAATTGTGCAGCGAGCATTCAACACGAAGCAGTCGGCATTTCAAAAATGCTTCCGGTCCACCGGGGTGAAACCAAGCTCCAGGAACACAGCGCAGAGCTGGCAGCTCCTCAGTTAGTAATTCCTTGGCAACTTAGCCTGAGAAACCTGATCTCTGTGTCCCAGTTTCCCCTGTCTGTATGAAGATAATAATCCCTCCTCCACCTAGAAAAGGATGCGGTGGGATTGATTAAGGAGCAGTCAATGCACGGACACGTTGGTTTTCAAGGCACAGCCCGTTAACTAGAAGAGCTGTTCATGGGAGTTACTAATAAGTCTCAGAGCATCCCTCCACACTAGCAATAGTATTCCCTCCCTTCGTGTGAGGTCAGAGGTGGTGTTTTGACACTTCTGCTGTTTAACATGACATCTGGTATAGAAAAGGCTGAAAATTGTAGCTGTGAGTTATACTTGCTGGAAATGTTTCTATTGGCATGGCACAAGAATGTCAAATCATCTGCTGTATTTTCAGACATATATACTTTGTTTGACTTTATAAAATGTCCCCAAGGGACTGAAAACTATAGTAAACCTTCCCCTTCATTAATTTTTAATGTTTTAAACAACTCTGTTGTGTTTTGCAACAACTCTTCCCTCTTCCCTGCTCAGAGGGAAGACAGGGTTGTATTTTTTTTTTTAAATCTTTATAACTTTTCTGAATGTTTGGGAGGGGTCAGACAAGCCAGAGTTCAAACTGCTGGAGATCAGACCCTCCTGACACTAGTGGCTTGGGAGTTATGCATATAAATGATTAGTGCTTCTTCCAAAACCATCCCTTCAGGCTGACAGAAAGGAGACATTTCATAGCTCTGTGGTTAGAATAAAGAGTTCATACATGCATGATGGGCAGACAGAGGGTATTATTCAGAGCTGTAAGAATTAGTGGCTTACAGTCTGATATTGAACAGTTTGTGAAGGACTGGCATTAATTAGAACTATCCAGCAGAGATGTGGCCATAATTATTTAAAGGACTAACTCTTAACAGATGGACTTAGTCATGGCAAACGCATAGCATAACTATCTAAAGAGGAAAAATGCAAATGCCCTAGAATGGAATTATTATTTTGAAGGATGCAAGCAACCTTTGGCTATTAGGTGACAGAATGATTCTTTCCATCCATAGAGAGCCTAAAGAGTGGTACCCTTAACATTTTTCTTCAAAAGTCTGCTCACCTTGTGCTCTGTGCCTGGCAACTCGCAAGCCTAAGAGAACCAGCGAGGGGTCTCGATTGGAAGAAAATCAGCATGATGGTGGTGATGGCTGCTGTCAAGCCAATAGGATGGCGATTCCTCATGAGGCAGCTTGAGGGGTGCTGAGACACGGTGGCACGAGGGGCACAATAAGCACACATCTGAGATGGGTGATGAGGCAGACACAGTTGAGCACTTGGGAATTTGCATAACAGTCCTCCTGTTCTTAACAGCCATGTGATCAGGTGGCATCACCCTAAAGATACTCCCCTTGGCCATCAGTATCTTAGATCCAGTGGGATGGGGAAATTCCCAGGGCGGGGAGAGAAACAGCAGAGACAGCTAGACAGTCTCTCAGCTGAGAGGTGCTTCAGGGAAAGATGGTACTTCACCTTTTCCCAACCAGGAGTTCCAATTCATGAGCAGATGGCTCTGCTAGATCCCTTTATGTTCTCAGTATTTATAAATGGGCTGAGGAAACCACAATTTTAATTCAGAAGCTTTTCATCACCAGCTGAAGTCCTGCGGCTAACGATAAAAAGGAAGGATGGTTTCGTTACCAAGAATATCTTCCCTTCCTCGTTAAGCTGCTGATCCTTAAGCACATGCATAATTTTGGTTGCATCAAGTTCCCTAGCCTCATAACTTTTAGGGTGGATTGTTGGATCCTCTCTTTAAAACAGGATACTCCTGGACAGATATTGCTCTACACTAAGAGTAGCCCTGCAGCAGCCCCTGCCCCCTGGGCATACTACGTGCTTCAGGTTGGCCTCAGCCCTCTGGAACACGAGGGATCCTGCATGTCTCAGTGTGCTTGGTGAGCTAGCTTGCTCCCCAAGGGATGGATCTTTGTATGTGACTAGGGACGAAGCAGAGCAGAGAGCAAGGAATCAGAGTACACCAAACCTCACCCTAGCAGGCCAGTGGCCGGGGCTTTCCTTCATCTCTGTCAAGCTCTCACCAGTACTTCTTTAGTGGCTGTTGCTGTAATACCCAAATAAGGGAGGAAAATACCGACAACGCTGAGTGTTGAGAGAGCCTGAATGTATGAGATGGAGAAGTAGCATTGTCTAAAGGTTAGAGCCAGCAACGGGGAGGCAAGCCTGGTTTCATTACTGTTTATGCTGTAGCATAAGCAAGTCACTTGATTTCTTCAGAACAGCCTCCCACTTCCTGTGAGCCAAGTGTTCTTCCTTCCAACCCACTTGCTGCTATATATAATTTCAGCACTGTCTACCTTTTTTGCAGTCCAATCTGGGAGTCATGCTTCCCAGAAATCATGAGATGGCATCAAAATTGTGCAGGTTCTTGAAAAAGCATGGTTTGAATGCTTACTCTTGGCTGCTTGCTTTCTGATCCTATATAGGTCACAGGGTCACTTTTTCTTTTATGTCTGCTGGCAGGAAAGCAAAATGGTAAAATTCTGTAAACAAGAAGTGTGGCTCATAAAAATAACATTTGGCCTCTGTATATCAAATATGTCATTAGGAAAATCAGTTTATCTGTCTCCTTGTTCAAGTAAGCGAAGCAAATTTGCCTTTTGCCGTCTGCTTCCTCCCTACTTTCAGCGAAGAGTTAACCTACCAGCTAGTCAACAAGAGGCAAAAATCAGTAAAATAGTGCTTTGTAGCAGCGGCCTCCTCATCTATTATGCAATAGTAAAGTTAATTTCTCTAGAAATTTAGTCTTGAGCAGAGATCTGTCATCAGCGATAAACTCTGCTTATTGATCACTACAGGGATTGCAGCCACTTCTGGAATGAAACCAGGCAGCTTTTCGATACCACACAGCACATCACACACCAGCGAAGGGCAGATGCCGTCTCGCTTTAGCAAACTGACGTGTGACTGGGATTCCAAGAACTGGATCATCCAGTTGATTTGCCATGTTTCCCGGGCCAAACCAGGAACACCAATCTTTTGCTTCCCAGGACAGGAACAAAAAAGAAAGGTAAAATCAGATGGAACAGGAAGAGGACTTGAGATGAACTGGACTCAGCAGTTTGCTGCACGACACGATACTTCTGTGTGCATCTTGGCACCACGCTGACTGTTGGCGACACCCAGATTCATTACAAACAGCTGCTGATTTGCTCTCAGCTCTTGCTGGTGTACCTTCCCCATGATTCCTGCTTGCTTATTTCTTCCTGTCTCCAGAGTTACTCCTACTTGCACCTATTGACCTGTCCATCTTGTTTTGGTGGCCTCCGTTACACTGCATCTGACCCTCTGCACTTTTCATATGGAAGTTTTATTTTCCTATAATCCATCTTTTTAACCAAAGACTGTTTTTTCTTCTGGTGTGTATGGGTAATTCTACAATGTTTGCCAACTAGAATGTTCTTCACAGAACCAAAGAATCCCATCGCAGCAGAATCAGGTAGCTGTCACATGAGCACTACTGCTACTACTACTACTACTACTAGTAGAATGCACTAATACTGAAAAAAATGGCAAAGAATGGGAAAATATAGACAAACCACTGTAATGTCTAGTACGATTTCAGCAGATGTTGTATTTATCTAGCATTTTTGTAAGAATTATGTGACTAAACATTGACTTATTTATGAGTAAAAAACTAGAAAATATTGCCTTTAGGGAGTGAAACTGAGTTATAGAGCCAGGGAATGCTTTACTTAGACTCATTAGCAAAGGTCGGGCAGAAAGAGCACCAGGGGTGCCCATTCATAAATGTGGTCACCAGCTCCTAGAAAAAGGATTAGACTCAAACTCTTTATAACAAGCAAATGAACTCCAGCACACTAGAGGTGGAACCAAACAGATGGGAGAGCAAGGGCCAGAGTCTCCCCCACTTCAGCAAAGTGGAGCATCTGCTGCATTGAACAGAGTTGATAATGCCTTGTTATACAAAATGTGGGTGATAGCTCAAGTGTATGCATTTAAAAATCTAAAAAAATATATGCATCATCTCACAACGGTTTTTCTCTGACAATCCAATCACCCTTCTAGTGACCCAAAATTTTTTGCTGTTGTAGCTTTCCTCAGACTCTCAGACAGCTTGTGACCTTGTTTATTCTTTAGTTTTAGATACGTCACTGTATTTTAAGATGCCTTGAAAACAACTTCCCCTTTTACAGTGCCTTCTATACAGTTTTCCATGCTTTTATTACCACTTAGCCATTTAGAAATGTTTCCATTACAATGAAAAGCTGCCTACCTTAAATCACAATATGTTTGTGTTTAAAATCACTGTTCACATGTTCAGAGGCAAAAAAGAAGATATTTCATCATACGAAACTCACATCCTACAGAAATTTTTGTCATTGCAGCTGAACCTTAATGAACATCTGCCTGCTAAAGTTTCTGTTCAATGGTGTGTGTGAAAAAGCACCTGAACAGGTTAGTGCTCACACAACAGTCATGCAGCATCACACAGGTGGGCTCGCTCCTGGTCCAGCTCTCACAGGGCTACCCAGAGTCTTTCAAGGGCACCGAAAGCTGGCTCTGCCTCATCTGAACTGGTGCCTTGAAACATCCTGCGATGCAATGGGATGACGGCTGCAGAAAGTGATAGTAGGACCAGCTGACCTGTCAAGATGGTGAGTTTGGCTCCTCACAACAAAACAGGGATAATGCAGGCCTCTCAGATGTCTTCTATCCCTATGAAAGAGACCCCAATATCCTCTGGCCTTCTGTTACAAACCTACAGAACAGAAGAGAAGCGCCAGCGCTATAAAGCATGAGTGATCCAGGCCAGGCTTTGTGGGAAGAATAAATGGGAATTCATCTGACAGGCTTTAGGCCCCAAGAATTGGGCAGTCCTGAGCTATGAAATAAAAGGGTCAGAGTTACCTTCCAATACAAAAGTGCAGTTCAGTGACCATGAGGAGCAGAGGCAGGGAAGAGAGGGACCGGAGCACTTAAGCCAGAACTGTTGTCCAAATGCTGACTCTGCCAGTGCCTCAGTGCATGACTTGGGATGAATCACCTCATCCTGTGTGCCATTTACCCCTATGCAAAGGGCAAGCATGAGATCTCTGTTCTCAAAATAGGAAGAAGCTGCTACGTCCTTGTGATTCCCTGCAGGTGATCAGTATCTTCATATGCTCAATGACAGTAATTCCTGCATGAAGGAAGTTGATGCTTATATACAGGAACAGCTACAGGACAGGAGGGGGCACATTATTAATTAACCGATGGTGAAAGTGATTGTGAGGAAGTATTACCTGGCACAAAACAGTCCCAACAAACTTCCTGTTTCATTTAAAGGGAAAATAAAAACTAGAGATGCCAATTTAGATCAAGAGAGTAGAGGGGAGACTCTTCAAATTGGAACAGACCAGGTGCTTGCTACAGGGTAGAGCAATGAGGGTGCCAGATAGAAGGGAACTGGATAAGAAGGATTGTGAACATATTTACAACCATCTGGCACCCTCTAATTATCCAAATGACGAGGCTGCCTGAGTGCTCACCAAAATGTGGAGAGTGAGGGAAGGAAGGAGTTTGTTTGGGCAGAGGATCTTGAGTGCTTCATGCTTTCAACGTATGTTTTTTGGAAATGTTTTATATCACTTACAAGATTATTTATATTACTGGAGATGTAGGAAAATGATACCAGAAGGAAATGGAAGGGCTACTCCTTCTGGAGTTTTCTGTCCAGGTTTCTGAAAATCAATTCAAAGGAGAGAAAAGATGCAGTTTCTTGGGAAGCAACATCAGGGAACAGGAACGAGTCAGGAAAGCTGGGCTCCTTCTCATCTATGCCACTGACGTGTTGTTAGCATTATCTGAAGTCTTGCAATAATTAGTGGGAAATCTGCAACAGCTGGAATCATGTTATTTAAGAAAAAAAAAACAGGTTCTAGAACTACAAGTAAACATTTTAAAACAAGGTAATGGTGCTTACTCAAAAAGTAAGAGGGAAATTTAGAAGTTCATGTTTCTGAGCACCAATTATTATACTTTTATTGGCCCTATTCATTATTTTTTAATGTCTGGATTTACCAGAATTACAGTGGTGTTATCTTTAAATTACTTTGCCTTGCTGTGCTTTCTTTATGTGAATCAGGAGTTTTGACTTGTTTTCTTGGTTTTATCACTGTCCAGCTGTGAGGACATGAGTAAGAGCTTGCCGCTCAGCTCTTTCCTACATGTTGAGAGTTTCAATTTTAGTGCTC